AAATCTTAAAAGAAAAAAAATAGGGATAATAATTCTGAACAATGAGACAGACAAGGTCCGGTGTTTGAACCTCTACCTCGATCACATGGGTCGGACACATGTTAACAAGCTAGCGGCCGTGCTAAGGTAAGGGGTAGCTGAGTGACTTGTTTTCTTGGAAACAACCCCTTCCCTTCGATGCAGCGCAGCCTGCAGCAGCAGGGAAACGCTGAGGGAGACAAAGGATGTGGTCATGGTGCCAGTTCCGTCTCTAAGCTGCCCAGAGGAGTTACACCAGGAGCCCCTGTTCTGCCTGCGGAGGGGCCCCTACTGCCTGGATCCTCAAATCCTCGTACTCATCTGGGCGGCCCTGACCACAAACCTAATCTGCAAAGTGCCCTGGACGCAAAACCCCAGAGCAGGAATTTTATTGTACAATTTAATGACCTACATTTAAAAAATTGTTAGGTTCATCAATCAAAATATTAGTACCACACATTTTTATTGATATTTTAAGTACTTTAAGAATGAGTCCTTTCAAACTAAAAGCAAGCCTAGCGGGCCCTGGCAATGCAGAGATGACCAGAGGAGCCCCGGGGCGGGGGTGGGGGGTGGGGTGGAGCGTGGGGGGGTCAGAGCCCCAGGAGGGAAGCTGGTGGGCGCCCCCCAGAGGCCCCCTGAGAGCCCGCTCTGACAGAGAGCTTTCACCAGCACACACAACCATGCGGCGGGGGAGGGTGGAAACCCCACATCCGTCTAACAACTGGGAGTGGCGCACAGGGGCAGGCGGAGAGCAAATCCCGCTGCACTCCGGAGACCAGCCGAATCCCAGCTGTCTGGCGGGCAGGCCATCCCGGGGTCTCCGGACGTGGGGCCACTGCCGTCACCGGCAAGGACACAGGTGGGTGAGGTACCTGGCCAAGGTCCCCCAGCTGGGCAGCTCTGCTGCCTCAACCCTGCAGCACCCGCGGTCAAGCCCCAGACGCAATCCGAGTATGTCCAGAGCACTGGGTGCAAGCCGCAGGCCAAGTATGACCGAAGCATTTGACAAGGTCGTTTATTAAAATCCCAAGAATACCTTATCTTTAATGATGCCTTCTTGACACGCAGTACATTTTGGCCTTGAGGAGCTGAGGGGAAAACACACCATGAAGACATTAGACAGAGCGGAAGTCCTATTCTCACTTGAACCAGTATGGATGGTCAACCCGCTGTGCGAAGCTCACGGCAGCGACCAGAGCCCCAGGATGCCACGGCGAACCAGGTTCAAATATGAAGCCACAGGAGAAAAGGGCTCAATTTTTTAATGGTAATTTTTCATAAGGAAGTTTTTAAGCAGCACAGCTTAGATCAGTCCCACTTGGAAAGCCCCTTTCAATTAAAAGTGAAATTTTATTTCAGAAACCAAAACTAGCTCTCTGTGGAGAAGCTCTGTGGTGTGAGCGTCCATAGCTTATTAGGAGGGCCTACAAACAGTCTTGCTTTATAAAAACAGTCAGTACTTACTCCATACGCTATTCTCCTTCATAATATACTGAAATGCCAATGCAATTCCACAGTTAACAGGGGAATTTAACACTGACCTTGTCTAAGGAAACCACTCGTCCACTATATCATTCTTGTCCCCAAACGCAGGACAAGAGCCCCTGCTCCCAAGCTGCCCTTTTTTGGACTTGATTCTAACCCCATCTTGTGCCTGGAAACCATCTCCTAAGATTAAAAATAAAACGAAGTTTGAGCCCTCTCTACTTCCGTGGCCCCTGCCCTAGACAGCCAAGGGCTCCCAGAATCCAGGACAGGGAGCGTCAGCGGAGGCTTTGGGAAGGAGGACGCAGGGCTGGACATGTATACACCGGGGCCCTGGGCACAGTGGGGAGGCTCCAAAAGCCTGGGAAGCTGGGCAGGAGAACTGAGGGATGATGAGAGACAAAATTAATGTGTTTTTAAATAAAAGTTTTCATTTAAACTATACTAACATGAAGCCTCTGCTAAATTGCTTTAATCATACAAATCTTTTTACATCCTTAGACCCTAGGGGTGAGTAGCATCTGAGTGGGATCCCCTGACACCTGCAAAAACATGGAGCAGGAGGAGAGCCAGGGACAGAAAAAGGAGGGAAACCAGAAGAGGAACAGCCCTCTGGATCCCTAGCTCTAGGGACCGCCCCCCCCACCCCGAGCCCCACAGCCAGCAGCCCTACCCTGGCCCAGCGCTCTGTCCAGGTTTGCATGGTAAGAAAAACCAGGTGCTCTGAGTCTGCTCTGCCATCACTAAGCTTGACTCAAGAGTCATTTTAGCCACAAAGCAGGGGAAGCTGAGCTCATTGTTTGGGATAAGTGGGTAAGACCACAGCCAGAAGTACCCAGGGGGAGGATGACAAGGAGGAAGGCTGCCTGCAGTGTGGTTATCAAGGGCCGTGCACTCAGCGGTGAATCAGGAGAAGTGGGCAGCCCTCCCAGGCCCCTGTGCCCTGACCTTGGGGACCAAGTCTGAGAGCATCCTGCCATAACCCCCAGTGCCCAGCACCATGCCCAGAAAATACCTGGGGGATGAACCAAGATGCTCACTTGGACAATGTTGTTTGTGCTGTCAAACTCCAGCCTGCCTCCCAGACTCCCTCTGTGATTCTAAACTGTCAGTGATACTTAGCTGCCAAGGGCTTCCAAAGGCTTCGTGCATGCTTTGTTGACTGCTGGGTAAGCACACAAACGCTCGATTCCTACCCAGGCTGGGACATACTCAGTCCTCCCCGCTGACCCTGTCCTCCTCAGCCTCTGTCCCCCAAGAGCACCTGCACCTTCAGGGCTCCTTTGTCACTTGCTAATGGGCGTGTCTCTCCATGGAACCAGAAGCCTCTAGAGCAACACAGGGAGGGGACACCGGGGCACAGGGCCAGAGTGGCAAGCACCATCGGGAAGTGGCAGGTGCAGGAGTGACTTTCGGGAGGTGCTTGGTGGGGAGGAGACAGGAATCTGTGGGACGGGGCTGGGCAGTCCAGGCTGCGAGTCACAGACACCCTGGAAAATTCAGGCATGAGGTTCTACTGAGGTTCCCTAAATGATTCACAGGCGAGGCTCAGAGAACTTTGAGTTTCTTCAGAGCTTTTAACCTTCCGAACGTACTGTTTGGAGAAGTGATGGCGCGGGCGGGAGAGAGACTGGAGAAGCTGGGCAGCGGGGCCTACCTCAGCAAGGCAGCCATGCAGGTCTCGCAGAACCGGTGTCCGCACTCCGTCTGCTTCGGGTTACACAGCACCAGGCGGCACTTCTCACACTTGTACTTGTCCTCCACGGTCTTCACAAACCTTTCTTTGTAGCCTCCTTGTTCAGGGACGAAGATGGATGTCCCGGCGCCGCGCTCAGGGTGCAGCTTTAGCGGTGGGTTAGTCTGCAGGGTGCCGGCGGAGTCCATCTTTTTACTTGGCTCCATTTTAGGAAAGGGAAATTCTGTGGGGGAGAAAGTAACAGTAATGAGTAAAATGCTATCGCGTCCTCCCGTGCAAGGAGAAGAAACACAGGTTTGGGGATGGAAAAGTGCCTGAGAGCTGTGGGTTTTTTTCAGTTTAAGTAACGCTCAAGAACCCTCCTGACTTTAATACGTGATGGGAACAAGACAGGAGCAAGCGTGCATCTTTCCTTTTGACGTCAGCCAAACATGACTGTTACCATTACTGTGCAGAAGACCTCTAAAAGGTACTGATTGTGTCATTAAGGGTCGTGGAAATACAGGTAATACTTGACTGTAACCTAAAAATTCTATGCATCATTTTGATATTTTGGCCAAAGCAACAGTCGTTCTCAGCCAGTTTTATTTCTTGGTTCTCCTCACTGCCGATGGCAGTCCCGTGACGTGCCTCAGGGGTGGCCGAGCACACGGCGACGGCATCGCTGTGGAGCCCGTGCCCAGAACAGCGTCATTCACTCCAACCACAGCAGGCACTGCTGGATGGTGTCTGCAGACTCCTCATGCGACTTTTGCCCCCCCACGGACCCCACGAGTGTGCCCACAAGGCTCCAGTCTGGGCACGCTGTGACTGTCACCCGCTTTTGCCCAGGCGGCCGGCCTGGCCCCGCCTCGCCTCACCACGAGCCCACGCCGTGCACCACAGAGCTTCAGGGTGCACCCGGTGCGGAGCTACAGCCGCTGTCGTGCGGGGATGGAGCGGGTGGAGGGCACACCGCGACGGAACGACTGAGCGGGTCTCCTGTCCATGTGGGCAGGCTGTCCTACCGCACGTGGTGACAAGTGCACACATGGCTGGGTCCCACCTGCAAGTTCCCATCGACAGGCAAAATGAGCAGCCCCTAGACACGAGCCACAGAGGTCTCAGCCTGCGCAGGCCTCCAGTTGGAGTGCACGGCAGCACATCTGATGAACCTGCAGAGGAGTTTTTTGCAAAGCTCACCAGGTCTCTCCAAACTACCCTGTGCTCTTGCTCAATCCATCTATTTCTGCTAACTATAAAAATAAGGGCCGCATCCCTTCTACTCACAAGGCTGCGGGGGTCTGTGCCTCATCCCCTTCCCTTCTCTCGCCAGTGCAAGGCTGCCGGGAGCTGGTGCGGGGGCCTGGCAGCGTGCCTCGGGTTTGCTGGAACGGGAGGCAGACCCTCAGCCCAGGCCACGGCCTGCTGGGTGCACAGTCCACTCTCTAGAGCCTTGTTCCTCGCACTGCCTTGTTCTGCCTCTTTATGAGGCTGAAAGAATGAACGTTTCACGACTAGGGCTGTACAGAACGCCAGCAGCCTAACATCTGAAAAATAAATGAACTGGTGTTCTAGCCACACTCAGGCTGGTTTTAATAAAATAGAACATCGCTGTGGCAAAGAGTGGGAGCCTCCTGTGAAATCCATTTATGAAAACAAAAAAAGCTTTCAAAATGACCTCAAAAGGCCAGCAGCCCTTTGCTCACCAATTTGTTGACCAGAATCCTTTTCATTAAGATGCTAAGCGGGAAGGTGCCTGGTGCTTACTTTGCCTGTCAGAGAAAACGGGTGACCAGGAGCCGATCTGCTGGCAAGTGGCCATGTCAGCTCTGGCAATGTGTGACCCTCTCCCACTCTCCATGTCAGGCCCTTGCTTCTGCAGATGCTCTGGGTTCCCCCACCCCCCGGAATGCACCTCCCCACCTTCTCAAGGAGGCTCACCCGGGCCAACCCCACTCACCCGACCCCCTTTGCCCTGCTGTGCTTTTTCCATGGCACTTCCCACCCTCTAACTCTGCGTGCCTCTTGTGAATTGTCTCTCTTCTCAGGCAGAACGTAAGCTCCCTGGAGACACGAGTTTTGTTCACAAACCACAGTGCCTGATGGGCAGAAGGTACCCAGTACACAGCTGAGCTAACAGAGGGAAAGGTGAGGTCTGGGCCACTAGTACCAAGCTGTGTTTCTATGACAACCGACTCTTCCAGGAAAAGAAAACTCTTCAGCTTTTAGATCTGATCTTGGGAGCTTCCAGCCTTGAAAACTCCTTAGATTATAAGCTACTTATGACTTTGGTTTAGTATCTTAGCCCATGGTATGTAGGAAGCTATGTGTTCAATAAACAGTTTTTAAGGAGAAATACTTGATTCTCAGGGTGCCTGGGTGGCTTGGTCAGTTAAGGGTCTGCCTTCAGCTCAGGTCATAATTCCGGAGTCCCAGGATCAAACCCCATGTCGGGCTCCCCACTCAGCCGGGAGTCTGCTTCTCCCTCTGCCCCTCCCCACCATTCGTGCTCCCTCTCTCAAATAAATAGAATCTTCAAAAAAAGAGAGAAATATTTGATTCTTTAAAGGTAATTCCTATTTCAAACCTGAGAGACAATTAGCTTTGGATCAAACTAATGATAAATAATAAATGTTCATTTACCTACAACATGTCATACTCTGTATAAACAAGTAAAGAATACAGTTTGGGATCTTCTGTTTTTGTACATTACTTAAGATAAGTGAACAGATGCAAAAGGTATCCCAGGCACATCAAAGAAAACATCACAGCAGCCCCGTCCTAAAGGAAAGAGGACAGCCCATGGCCAGCAGGTCTGTCAGGACTCACCTGTAATGCAGGGTGCCAACGTGGGCATCTCTGCAATGGGCCACGGGGCCTCTGACAATCCTACCCAGCATCCCTGCATTTCGTCCCACGCATGGCCCATTCCCGATCTAGGCTGCAGGCTGGAGAATGAGCCTTTGGGGAAGGAGGGAAAGACGCCCTACAGTGCTTGGGCTGCAGGAACCAGAGAAACACCAGACCTCCTCTACCTTATATCCACAAGGGAGGAAAAAGAAGCATAAGAAAATAGTCTAAACATGAAATGTCCAGAACAGGCAGATCTATAGAGACAGAAAGCAGATTCATGGTTGCCAGGGTTGGGGGATGGGGAGCGTGTGTACTAATGCATGCAGGGTTTCCTGCTGAGGTGATGGAGGTGTTCGGGAACTGGATAATGGGGATGGGTGCATAGCTCTGTGAATACACTACAACCCACCGCTGAACCAGACATTTTAAAGCGGTGAATTCTATAGTACGAGAATTATATTTCAATTTAAAATCTAAACAAAAAATATTACAAAATAACTCTTCAAAATGGCTCCATTTGGGTTTGGTTAATTTGTGACATTTATATATAGCGGCATATACTCTAAAGTATGAGACTCTAACACTAAATCTGTATCTGCCCAATGCTGTGGTCAGTGATGGACATATGCGGGAGCACAGAAAGACTTTCATTTATAATAGTACGTGCCCTCAGAGAAGACAACAAACAACTAAAATATGGGGGTGTAAAGTGCAAAGAATAAGGACCAGATCCCCCGACTGCAGATACCCAGAGGCAGATGCTCTCTTTCTGGCGTTCTGTGAGAGCATAGAGACATCCAGAAATGGCAAATGCATGTAAAGAAAACGTGTCTTCTTTCTCCCTCCACACAAACTGTGTCGCACATGCAAATTAATCAGCAGCTTCCTTTTAAACCAACGCTGTATTCTGGCCATTTTCTGTATCAGCATATACAGATCTACTTTATTATTTTGAAGGGCTGCATATAGCACTCTACTGGATGGTTTACCATAATTTATAAAACCAGTTCCATTAAGAGACTTAGGCTGGTTCTGAAGTTTTGCCATTTTTTTTAAAAAAGATTTTATTTTTTTTAGAGAGAGAGAGAGAGTACGCGAGAGCAGGAATGGGGGGGCGGGGAGGGAGAGGGGCAGAGGTAGAGGGAGAATCCCAAGCAGACTCCCCACTGGAGCCTGACGTAGGGCTCCATCTCACAACACTAAGATCATGACGCTTAACTGACTGAGCCACCCAGGCGCCCCGATGTTTTGATGTTATGACCATCTGCAGTGAACATTCCTGAACACCTATCTTCGCACATTTAGGCAACCATACAGCAACAGAACTGCTGGGTCAGATGTGATGTGCATTTTACAGTACTGTAATCACTGCTGAACACTTCTAAAAGGTTGTAAATTACATATTTTTCCAATATTTACTAAACTATTAAACAAATATTATTTTAGAGGACAACACCCCATTTCACTGCACTTCCCACTTTATTTCGGCCTCGACGGTGTTTCCTGAAGAGTGCTGCTGGCTACACCGTTGTGCAAACATCACGGCCCTCGGCCTGGGAATGCCGGGGTGGGGGGCATGCCCACCACCCTTCTACATGGGCAGGAGCACCTTTCTCCACAAGAGTGACCCTGCAAAGGTTTGCCAAACCAAACACATTTTATTTCAACAAATACAACTGGGCACCTACAACATACACAGCTCTGTACCTCACATATCAGGGACACAGGGATGGAGGAGACTGTCCCCATCCTTAGAGAGCTTTGAGGGAGTCATGAGGAGAGGAGGTGAGCACTCCAGGATCAACAAGCAGAGGATGTAAGAACGGGAGTTATAAAGGGCTGCAGATCTTCAAAAGAGAAAGAGATCACATTGGTTTTGGGGAGATCGGGGCGGCTTTGTGAGTTGGGACTGGTGGTATCATTTCAATTCCAACAGAGAAGGACAAGAAGGAGTAGCAGCAGACACAGCACTGTTAGGCGGTCGTGGAGGGGAACCTGGTGTTAGGGGTTCCGGGGGAGGAACCAGCCAGGCAGGACATCTGGCACTTAGTGGCCTGGGTGATAAGGCTGCCCCAGTGTCCTTCCCTGAGGTGGATCCTTGGGCACAGCATTGATCCTCAGGGCCTCACTTCTCTTCACCTGAAAAGCAGATACTACCCCTAACTGTCCTAGCACTATCAGGCGTCACTGTAATATTTTATGCTGAATCCATCTGCAGACTCTGCAGCATTGCATACAGAGAAGACACGTCCTCCCGCCAACAGTGGTCAGGAGGTCTGACAAGGATTGGGCTGTTTCCCCATCTTACTTAGCCCCAAGCCTTGTTTTAAAAGCCCCTTCTCAGCAATAGGACAAGAAAAAGAAATAAAAGGCATCCAGATTGGAAAG